TCTTCTTGCTAACTCTGTGGGCTTTTAAGCCCATTGTGCTGTTTCCTGGTTCTGCTGTTGAAGTTTTCTCTGCTGTTGCTTCTTGCTACAGCTGTTGTTATATGTCCTATCCCTCTCTCTGTGTCTCCTTGGTCTATAAAGTTCTCAGTACAAGGGTCTCAGGTCCAAAGGATTCTCGTTTATTCCTGGCTTTTCTTTCTTGGTGGTTGTAAAGTCCTCTTTTTTCCTTCTGGGCTGGTTTAAGCTTAATGGAATGGCCAAACTGATCAATGCTGCCTCAGCGCTTCATAAACCTTCTTTACATGGGCTCAACCCCTACAAGGGTGCCATGAACATTATTTACATTATTAGTGAGCTATCCAGTCCCATTAGTGACCCATAAGCACTTAATTTACATAGTCCTATTCATTTACATAGTCCTATAAAGTCATTTGCTGGGAGTTACAAAGACGATGGCTACAACGGCCATTATTACCAATGTCAGATGGATCTTGGCAAAAAACAGAGTACCAGAAGAATGTCTATCTGTGTTTCATTGACTATGCAAAGGCATTTGACTGTGGATCACAACAAATTGTGTCTAACCTTGAGGAAAATGGGTATCCTAGAACATTTGATTGTGCTTATGTGAAACCTATACTTGGACCAGGAAGCAGTCCTCAGAACAGAACAAGGTAACGCTGCATGGTTCAAAATCAGGAAAGGAGTGAGTAAGGGATGCATCCTTTTCCCATACCTTTTCAATCTGTATGCGGAACAGATCATTCGGGAAGCAGGGCTTTATGAGGAGGAACGTGGCATCAAGATTGGAGGAAGACTCATCAACAGCCTACAATAAGCAGATGACACATCCTTGCTTGGTGAAACTGAAGACCTGAGGCACTTGCTGCAGGTCAAGGACTGTAGTCTTCGAAGCTCAACATCAAGAAGACAAAGATTTTCACCACTTGGCCAGTTAACAGCACCATGACAAATGGAGGAAGAGATTGAGGTTGTTAGCAATTACAGGCTCCACAATCAACACTCTTATTACCCCCCAACAGTCAGGAAATCAAGACAATTTGCATTGGGAACATCTGCTGTCAGGGACCTCTCCAGAGTGCTGAAAAGCAATGATGTCAGTCTAGAGACTAAAGTGCGCTTAAGCCAGGCTGTGGTCTTCACAGTTATTATGCTTCAGAGAGCTGGACAATAACTAAGGATGACAGAAGAATCGATGCCTTCGAGTTGTGGAGAACAGTTTTGAACATACTACGGGCTGCCAAGAAAGCAAATAGATCTGTCTTTGAAGAATCCAAGTCTCTCCTTGGAGGCTAGCATTTTGAAGTCCCGTCTCATATACTTTGGGCACAAAGGAGAGACTGGTCCTTGGAGAAGGACATCATACTCGGAAGGGTAGAGGGACAGCACAGGAGAAGACCCTGGATGAGATGGATTGATACAGTAACTGGGGCAGTGGGGATTGGTGTGTTGGAATCAGACTGGCTCAGGACAGGGGAGGGTTCGGAGCTATTGTACATAGGGTCGCTATGGGTTGCAGGCAACTCAACGACACATAACAACTGGTGCCACAATAATTCACTGCACCACAGCTTTCATTCTTTTGCCTTCTCTCCTCTCTAAGAGAATGAATTTGTGGAGCAAGTGAGGAGATGATGTCTGCCCAGCCCTTGGCATTGGTGAGTAGGCTCAGAGTAAACTAGTGCCTTCCTTTTCTGGATTATAAAAGGCACAAGCATTTAGCAGGAAAGACTGAAAAGGAACCCAGCAGGAGTGGGAAGGAAGGAAGCAAATGAGAATCCTCTTCTTTGAAGAAAGTGTCCAGAGTTCCTGCTGGCTTTCTTGGGGCAAGCTGACCCTTCAGTTCCATTTTCTCCCTACAGTAGAAGGTGACAGGTACTGTCTTTCACACTAAATTTTTTTCTTTCCTCTTTCCCCTCCTAAACTCAATCTCCTCAGGAACCAGAATGATAAATTTAGGTGCCCAGAGACTAAACTCTTCCTAGAGAAGGGGGTGCTTCACAACCAAATGCTAAGAGTACCAGAAGTCCTCTTCCCAGTTCCTCAGGGAAGGTGAGAGGTACGCATTTTTGCCCATCTCTCTGTTCCTTGACGATGCTCTATGCCAGAGTTTCTCTGGACTATTCTTTGATTGACTAGGCTTTTTAGTCTATCATAGAATAATCCTTTTACTTCTGATCTCCTTTCTTCACCCAGGAGACTGACAGAATTATCTTCCACTTAACTCAGAAGGGTTAAGTAACTTGTCCAAGGTCACATAACGGGAAAGTGAAAAGGGGGGAGGGGGGTTAGTCTCTTGCCCAGCACATTTTGGCATATGCCCAGATAATCTTTGTGAAAAAGAGTGAAATCTGGTTTCCTCATGTCAGTGGCCCCTGTGGGTGCTTTGTGCTGGGGGAGGGAGGGGTGTGGGAAAAGAAAGCTGTCTTTCTTCAATGAACCTTTGACCTCCTTAGTTCATTCACTCCTGAAGTTACTGATTTTAACTCCAAACTCTCCAAATGCACCCTATGATCAGTCTATTCATTATCAGAGAGCACTGCCCCTGCCCACGTCAGAGCACTAAAGAGTAGTTCTCATGTTTTCCTTCTTAAAAGATCAAACATCAAACAAATCCAAATAAACAGCCCCAAACCAAAATATCCAAAGCACCACCTGCACTGCCCGCAGACGCCCTACACACACCACGCCACCGTGCGCTGGAAGCGTCAGGGAGGGGGAGCAAAGCGCGGGCCGGGCCGCTCTGCAGGGAGTCGGGTGGGCGCTGGGCGGGCGCACTGCCAGGTCGGGCCGCAGCCGCGGGGGCCGGCCGCCCCTCGCCACGTGGTGGCGGCGGGGTCCCGGGCGCCTTCCCAGCTGGAGAAACCGGGAGCAGCAGGGGAGGAGGAGGCGGCCGCGGCGGTGGTGGCGGAGGAGGAGCGGGGCGGGAGAGAGGGAGGGAGGGAGGGAGGGGGGCTGGGGGGAGAGGCAGGGGGGGGGGAGAGACCCAGCGGCGGCGACAGGGCGAGGAGCAGAGCGCGGTGCCAGGGGGGTGGGGGCACCGGTGCCCGTCTCGGGAGGGAGCAGGAGGAGGGGGGAAGCTGCGATTACAAGCAGGAACCGGCAGCAGCTGTGAGTCCCCGGCCGGGGCTAGGGCGGGGGGAAGGGAGCAGCGCCCCGGGCCCGGCCGCCGAGGGTCTTGGGGTGGCCCTGAGGAGGGGGTGGGAGGTTGGCTAGCAGTTTACCCTGGATGACAGGAAGGAGAAGGGCCCGTGGCGGCAGCGCGTCCGCAGTCCGCCCTTTCCCCCTCCGCGGCTCCTCAGGCCGCACCGCCTACGGAGCCCCTGCCCCGGCCTCGGCCAGGCGGGCAGACGGGAACGGGCCCGGCCGCTAGTGGGGGAGGGGGCTGCGTGGTCTCAGCCCGGGGAGAGGAGAGGCAACAATTTCTGTCCGCCGAACTGAAGGGGTTTAAAGGGTGACTCTTAAAGGGGCCGCAGGAAGGGCCCGGGGTCGCAGGAGGCACCCCTTCCCCGTCCGCCGTTATTGCCGTCACCCGGAGCCGCCTGGCGGAGGGAAGGAAGCGACCCAGGGGACGAAGCCCCTGCTAGTGGGGTTGGGCCTGAGGTGGCTGGTACGAGGGTCTAGGGCAGAGACGGTGGAGTGAGCTCCGGCAGAGAAGTTGGGGGAAGGGGTTGGCCGTGGGAAGGGACGGGTTAAAGGTGGGGCCAACCTTACAAACCCGCGTGCACACACATTCCTTACTCTGACTGTTCGCACTTAGATGGGGCTGGGGGGTGGTGGTGTTGGGGCCTGGGCCTGAGCCCTTTTCACCTCGAGCTCCTGGAGCCCAGCTTTGGGAGGTCTGGGACCCCAGTGTCACAACTCACACTTGATTGTTGAGCCCCCTCTTCCTACGCGCACACACGCTCCGACGCGCGCGCACACACCTCGGACATTCCCATAGTGCCTCACGTGACACTCGGGCGGAACGTGCCCATCCTTCACACACGCTCACGCACGCGTGCACATATGCGCGCGCGCACACACACACACACACACATCCACACACAAAACGCGGCCACTTCCTCAACTCTGTCCTTTGACGCCCCCTCAACCCTGTAAACTCGCTCATTGAGGCAGACTGTGACACACCTACACTCATTCACAGACGCACACACTCCCCCCACACACACATGCCAACCAGACACACATTCATAAACAGGCCGGGAGCAGTACACACACGTACCCCATCACCTACTCTTCGGGTGCCCTGAGTCATTCCTGCCCCCTCTCAAGACTCCCCATTCCTCTGCCAGCAGGCACCCAGGGACAGACTTCGCTCTGCCCTAGCGCTCTTCCCAGGAGCCCTTTCTCCCCATTTGTTCCCTCTGACACTGAGCCAAGGACTTCCTGTAGGTCCCAGGTCAGAAGCAGGCGAGCTTGGACGGTTGCCTCAGCCCCGTGAGAGTCAGGGAGGTGCTTCCTTTTCCTGAACTCGAATCCTGCAGAAGGAAGCCAGGCATTGGGCGGGGGATGCAGCAGAGGATGTGCTGACTGTGGTGGGCTGACCCTCTGAGCTGCATTGGGCCTGACTTGGGGTGGAGCCAGGGTTGTGTGAGACCTGGGATGAGGAGCTGGGCAGAGAGGTATTTGGGGAAGGGAGGTCTGTGGTAGAGAAGGGGCTGGGGCAGTGAGCCAAGGACAGTGAGTCTAAGTCCCCATGCTGAGAAAACTCTCTCCACAGGCTCCTTCCGGAGCTCCTGCCTGCTGCAGGCCTGGCTTCCTTGCCCTTACTTGTCCATATCCCCTCCTGTCCCTAAATCTTCACCTGGCCCCAGCCACCTCCCCCAAAAGCAATGCAGAAGATGGGGCTTAGTAACCTGGGAAGGGGCTGAAAGAGTTTCTCAAGGGGCTTTAGGCAGAGAGCTTCCCAGCTTGGGACAAGGATGACAGGTATCAGGGACAAGTCCCCCAGCAGCTCTTTCCACAATTACTCCTGCTCTCCCAGGAGGCCCAGCGTGGGCTGTGGCCCAGGTCCTTGCCATGGAATCCATGTTTGAAGACGACATCAGCATCCTGACCCAGGAGGCCCTAGGGCCCAGTGAGGTGTGGCTGGATGGCCCTGGAGACCCCTCACTGGGGGAAGACATGTGTTCTGCATCTCACTTTGCCCTCATCACAGCCTATGGAGACATCAAGGAGCGACTGGGAGGCCTGGAGAGGGAGAATGCCACCCTCCGCCGCCGGCTGAAAGTCTATGAGATCAAGGTCAGACCTGAGGCGGGTGGATCTGCTATTGTTGGGGGCAGGAGCAAGGAATCTGCTAGAGAGCCCAGAGATCCAAGACAAGGGCCAGGTACAGACCCTAGTGAACTTGAGCATCTCCTGTGAGTACTGTAGTTGCTCTGGATGTAGAGTCTAGAGGGCCCCAAGTCCGTCAGGAAGGATCCACTTTGAAAGGGATATATACAGTGGTTGGCGGGAGATGTCTGCAAGCTAATGGGGATTGGGATGTACAAGATACCCCTCCAGGGGGTGGGAAAAGCAAGTTTTAGGGTGGGGGCGCAGTAGGGAACCAGCACTCTTGAATCTCTTGCCTTACCCACAGTACCCACTGATCAGTGACTTTGGAGAGGAGCATGGCTTCTCTCTGTATGAAATCAAGGATGGCTCCCTGTTAGAAGTGGAGAAAGTCAGTTTACAGCAACGGCTCAATCAGTTCCAGCATGAGGTGAGTCCTCCACGAGGTGAGGCCTTGCTGACCCATATCCCCGTGCTCCTTGCTCCAATCTATTTCTGATTCTCCCTCCCCACAGCCTCTGGCCTCTTGTTCCTTTGATTGGGCTGATGGCCATGATCCTTCCATCCCTCTGTAGGGTGCTGGGAGGAGGGATAGGAAGGCACAGGGAGCCCTCAGCCCATAAATCCAGAATAGACCTGACTCTGTGACATCCCTTCTGGGCCCCATCCAGTTGCAGAAGAATAAGGAGCAGGAAGAACAGCTTGGGGAGATGATCCAGGCTTACGAGAAACTCTGCGTGGAGAAGAGTGATCTAGAGACGGAGCTGGGGGAGATGGTGAGGCCCAGGAATCTGGGGTGTTTGAGGGCATACATCTGGTTGTGTGTGTCTGTGTGTAGTTCTGTGTGTCAACATCCTGACTCTTTGGTAATGATATGTAATCCTTTGTGTGTGCTTATGCATCAGATCTTGCTCCTATTCCTGTCTGTCTGTGAATACACATGTGGCCTCATGAATGAGGCTGTGTGTCATCTAAACTACGAGTAACTCCACCTAGGTTGTACAGTGACAAGATGCAATGTATGTAGCATTTGGGCCACATGAGTGAGTGACCTTGTGGAAGGCTGTGTCTCTGTGTGTATGTTTGGGTCCCACCCTGCATCATCCATATGCCTGTAGGATTATGCTTAGGAGGCTGTATGAGTGAGGGTGGAGGGGACCAGGAGTGCCTGTAACTGCTGAGATGGACTTTGGCATGTGTGTGATTCTTAGTTGGGGTGTGGGCAAGTAGAGAGGTGACTTTGGCGAGAAACATGTGATCTGTCCTGGCTCCTTACTGTGACCTTGCTCAGATCACTCACTTAACCTCCATTCCCTGCTTTAAAAAGTGAGGCAAAGCAGACAGTGCAGTGGTGTGAAAATGCTTTGCCGTAATGCTGTCAAGTTGAGTCCTACTTGTGGCAGCAGTGTGTGTGTGTGTGTGTGTGTGTGTGTGTGTGTGTGTGTGTGTGTAGTATTGCTCCAAAGAGTTTTTAATGGCTGACCAAAAAAAAAAAAAATTTCCAGGGCTTGCTTCTGAGGCACTCTGGGTGGATTTGAACCTCCATCTCTTTGGACAGCAGCCAAATATATTAACTATTTGAAATCACTCAGATTTAATGTGAACACTTAGGATACTTATTCTTATTTCTTGATATTGCCTCATTTTAATGCTCCTACAACTATAAGCAGTAGGTGTGGTGATAGTGTTGTCCTCATTTTAAAGATGACATAGATGAAACCAGAGTGGTTATGTCACAGAATGTGAGTTATTATGCTTCTTACCTTTCATCGCTGAGGGGATGGCGGTGCCTGCATAGGGCTGTGTTAACGACAAGAGAGCAGCAGTACCCCTGACCTTGCAAACTTCAACAGCCAGAAACATTAGTGTTGCCGTTGATGGGAGGAAAGACCTTGTACTCAAGACCACTTGGAGAGTGGAGTTGGTGTGACCTGAGGGTCTCTACTCTAGCATTAGAAGTGGTTACCATCCAGACATGAGGAAGTCCTGTATTTAGAGCTTCATGGAGCACCTGAAGCCTGTTCAGATCCTCACCTCTTTGTCTTCCTGCAGCAGGCCCTGGTGGAGACCCACTTGCGGCAGATCTGTGGTTTGGAACAGCAGCTACGGCAACAACAAGGCCTCCGGGACGCAGCCTTCCCTAGCCTGAGCCCTCCATCTCAGACCCCCTCTCTGCCCTGTGCTGATCTGGACCTACACTACCTGGCACTGAGAGGGGGACCTGGCCTTAGTCATGGTGAGATCTTGGAGGCCCTTGACTTGGCTATCCATAACTTTATAAAGCTAACACCACTGGTCATTCTTGGACTGATATACCACATCTCCCTCTGATGTTTCCAGTTTCTCTGGTAATCACCATACTTCTCACATAGCTCTCTCACCTTACTCACCATGACCCTAATTTTCCCCTCTAATCCTCCCCCCATCAACCCCTAGCTACCTCAGTAAGATTCGTTCACTTAACAGCAGAGGGCGCACTCAACCAGACACCTTCCTGTAACGGGTTCTGGTTGTGACAAAGCCCTGAGGATGCTGGAAACTCTCCTGCTTTACCAGGGAATGCTTCAAAAGGCTATCCAATTTTAATTCTTTTTAAGTGGAATATTTTAAAGAGCAGCTATCTTCATCCTTCCTCACTGCCCTCTATAGAGGAATCTCTCATCCTCGGTTAACTGTCTTACTGGCTGTCTCTTAGATCCCTGAAGCTGTAATCTTAACTTGTTTCAATTTGTGCCATTCAGGGAGTTGGTAGGAATATCCAGCAGCTGGACAGCTAGACCCAGCCTGACATTGTCCCATCCCCTGGCAGGAGGCTGGCCTGGTCCCTCACCTAGTGTGAGTGACCTGGAGCGGCGGCGGCTGGAAGAGGCTCTGGAGGCTGCCCAGGGAGAGGCTCGGGGGGCTCAGCTCCGGGAGGAGCAGCTCCAGGCAGAGTGTGAGCGGCTCCAGGGGGAACTAAAGCAGCTGCAGGAGACCCGAGCCCAGGTAATCGCAAGGGGGCCCCAGATCCTGGGACTCAGTCTTCTCTGGCACTTCCAGAGCACTGTGGATAGCTGGGGGCTGCTGGAAACCACCTTCATGATCCAACTCCCTGTCTCGGGCCAGTACTGTGCCTCCCTCCCAGAATGTGGACTAGACCTGGGATGTCTACGACGGGTGAGGTTGGTGCTTGATTTTTTAAATCTTCTCCCTTAGGATTTGGCCTCCAACCAGTCGGAGCGAGACATGGCGTGGGTGAAAAGAATTGGCGACGATCAGTAAGTGTCCATATTCCTGTCCCCCTTCACATGTCGCGTCTGGGGTTACCACATCTCAGTCCCTCATAGGCTGGCTTTCCTCTTCTTTCTTGGGTGGCCTGTCTTCTCAGCCCTCAGGGTGTGGTGTTTGGGCTGCTCCTGTGACTCATCTTCTGGAGGAAGGAGGTGAAGCTCCAAGAGTGATAAGATTCTGGAAGATTTCCTTTACTTGACCCAAGCTATTTTTATTTAACGTGGCTGTTATGTTCTATGTTCTCCAGTGAGTTCTGGGGTCTCTTTGGGTCTCCATTTCTGCGTCAGTAACCAGACTTAGCCAGTTGGGTAAACTCTCCCCTTCCTGGGGAGGACAAAGAGTTATCACACTTAGGAACTGCTTTCCCATTTTCTGCCCCCCCCCACCCAGGATTGAGATTCAGAGGAAAAGGGGGTGATTTCTTGGGTTCCTGGCAGTGGGTGGGGAATTAGAATATACCACCAAAGAGGGGCAGCAGGAAGTAGGAAGAGAGCCCTGTCTGTGGGAAGCCCAATGCTGGGATGCACTTGGGAGCCTCTGGGGATGCATCAGGCACCAAGGGAGGGGTGAGCGACAGTCTGACAGCCGTGGAGCCTCATGCCTGTCACATCCGTACCTGAGCTCACCCTCTCCCACTTTCTGAGAAATAGAGCTCAAACCTCCTTCCGCCTCAGTCCTCTCCCCTGAGACAAGGCATGTGGCATAGACTCCCTACTTTCATTGGAGGAGGAGACTGAGGCCCAGAGAGGCTCAGAACTAACCATCACAGAGATACCCAGTTTCAGGACCCCTGAGGTCTGCCTCCCAGCAGGTTGAGTTCCTCCCAGCTTCTGGCCAGTTGGGTAGACCCTGAACCTCCCTCCTTGCTCTAGGGTGAGGGCCTGGGTGGAGCTGTGATAACTAGCGGGTGAGAACCAAGTTTGTGGGACTGGTGGATGGGACACTGTTGCTAGGTTGCTGGGGGTATGTGGGTGACCTCTGCACAAAGAGTCCACCCTAGCTTGTGGCTGGACTCTGAGACTATCCTAACCCATTTGCCCACACATGCTTTTTAAAATGCCCACTCACAAGTTACATTATAGGGCTTTTTATGGGTTATAGAGCACAACTTCCTTTTATAAGACCAGTAGTAGCAAAGGGTCCTCCAGTTGGGTGGACCCCAGGCAGGACTGTTTGGGCAGGGCTGGAATCTGAACATCCAGGCTTTAATCCATGGCGCTTTCCCTGGCTTGCTCAGTGGCTTCCCAAGTGATTTAACCCCTCTGGGTCCCCATATTTCCTTCATTGGCTCAGGCACTGCTGAGGGATTGTGAGAGGAAGGTTATAGGATTGAGGCAGGGGGATCGAAAAGAGAATAGCCAGTCCCAAAGCTGAAGCTGTATGTGAATGAGTGAATTAACCATCAGACCAAGGTGGGTTTGGAAATTATATTCTCTACACTACTTAGTTCAGCTAGTAGCCCTTTCCCTTCTCATCCCAAGACCCTTGTCCCACCCAGTCCTTTTGGCCAGAGGGAGCTGTGCTCTGCCAGTGGGCTGGCCAGAGCCAGTCTTACCTGAGGTGGCCTCCCAGCTTCCCCTTCTTCCCAGTGGTTCAGACTGTCTCAGGGCCTCTTGGTTCTCTATACCTAGAGGCAGCAGGTGCTGTCTGCCCAACCTCATGCTGTCTTTCTGCCTGAGCGTCTCTGGACAGCCCCAGGTTGGCAAGAGTTAATTGGCAGAGGAAGTCTTACTCCCCCGGTAGTTTTATTTTCTTATAAATTCAGCTCCTTTTGGTAACAGTTTTCATCCCGAGTTCTCTCTCCTTGGTCCTCCCACCTGAGGAGACCTCAGTCACCTTCTCAGCTCCTTTTCCTCATCACACCCTTTTCTTTCAGCTTCTGCTTAACCCACCAGGCTAATGGGCATTTAAAAAGTGCGATGGCCTGGGCTGGCTATAGGAGAGTGGTTCTAATCATGTGAGGAGGACCTAAGGAGTATTAGGGGCGATTGAGATATTCCCAAGTCCAGCCCACCCCATTGTAGGATTCTTCTGCATCTGGAAGGCTCAGGTTGGGCACCTCCAGGGATGGGGCGGTCACCTCCTTCTGGGCAGCTAGTTATTATCCCATGCTGGTTGATCAGTCCCTTCCTGTAGGTGGACTTGCGATAGTCTCTGTTAATGCCCCTCCATGGTCCTATCCCAGTCCGGGGAGGACAGGCTTAGGGGGCAGCCCCAGCCCCTGGCTTTCCCAGTTTCTCGTACCCTAGTCTCTGGACCCCACCTCTGTTTCTCCACATTCCTCTGAAAATGATGGCAGGTCTGATCTCGGGGTAAGATTTCCCAGCACTTGGTGGTCAGTGCCCATGGGTTCAGTTGCCCCAGAAGAAAAGCCTCTGAGTTTACTTAGGGCCCAAGGACACAGATGAAAGGGGTGATCAGGCATGGAGACCAAAGGCTGTACAGTGAAGTAAAGCAGCACCAGAAGGGTCCTAGCTGGGGTGGGAGGTGTAGAACCTGTGTCCCCTCCACCCTGAACCCCCAGATAAAAGGTACAGAAGTCTTGAGTGGGGCCTTTCTGAGGGTGTGGCTGATGCTGTGAGTGGAGGGGACATTGTGGAGAGGGGCTTCCTTGAGGTGGGTGAGGGCTCCAAGGGGGACACGCTTGAGCACCCTGAGGACTCAGTGAGGGAAGAAGGGGCAAATCTTGTTCACAGGAGCCCCACTGAGCAAATGGGGGCTCAGTCCAAGTGACAAGGGGAAAACTCTAGCCCTTTCTTTTTTTTTCTTTCCCAACCTGGAGGGGTGTTTGGTGTTGCAGCCTGGGCCCTTTTCCGCCCACCCCCCACACCCCTCTCTCCGCCCACAAGCCTCTGCGTGGGCTGCGGTTAGTGGTGGGGGAGAAGTGTGAACTCGGAGAGAGAGGATGGAAACTCTGCACAGAGGTCAAGGGCAGCATGGGGGGGTCAGGACGGAAGTCGGAGACCCCCATGTGCCCTCAGCTTAGCCTCATGCCCCAGAACCAGTGAGCCCAGGACCTCCCACTTCATGCTTCTCACCCTCCCTACTTCCTTTATTTCAAGTCTTTAGCCGGGACGCTCTGTGATCACAGGAATTAACCGCCCCCCCCCCCAGCACTTACAGCCTGGAGGGGCACCCAGGAGCTGGGGAGGGGTTCTTAAGCCAGGTCTACTTGCTCTCACTTATTTTGGTCAGAAGGATTGGTGTGCCTTTGACCCTTCCCTGGACAGGCCTGCAGAGAGCTGTTCCTACTCTCTCCTGAAGGGTCAAACTGTGCTTTCCTCTCATTCTTAAACCAGTCGCTGAGCTGATGTTACAGACAAGTCTCAAAACTGCCCTCTCCCTTTCTCCACCTGCCTCCTCAACACTCTCCTAGATCTTTGTCCACATCAGACACTATGAGGTAATGTCCATACAAAATCTCATTAAATTCTCACAAAAATGTAATGGAGGTGGTGGTGTCCCTCTTTTCTGGATGAGCAGAGTGAGATGTGGTACAGAAAAGTTAAGTCATCTGTTTTAAGATCAAATTCCAAGGCAATCCTGAATAGCTGGAGTGATGATACTTCCGTGGCATGCCTATGACATTTTTCTGGTTCCAGGTCTCCTCTAGGGAAAACCAAAAGCAATTGCTATTACATTCCTTTTGAGCTAGTGACCTTGTGTGTTGCATGGCAGAACTAACTGTATTCCCTTTTCATTTTCAAACCTGTGACCGTATGGAATCAGATTGCCTGGCCTATCTTCCAAGGTACCTCTGGATGGGTTCTAACCGCCAACCTTTCGGATTCCTGTGTTTTTCTTGTTCAGGTTCTCCTTCAACCAGGAGTGACCACTATGATTTGTGACCAAATTGGGATGATTTTGAAAGTGAAAGGGAGGCAATTAATAATTAGCCGGGGCAGCCAGTGTGAACGGGGGCAGTCCGGGACATTTAGGTATGGATAGCCACTCTCCTAAGTGGAGACTGTGAGCTGCTCAGCTCAGCTGCACCTGGGGAGACTTTACTGATGCAGGGATCATTTGGCTGTGCTGGGAGCGTGGCGGAGGTGCCATGAAAATCCGGGCTCTGGGGACCACAGTCATAGCTGGTTGAGGAGGGTGAAGGGGCTCAAGGTGCCTGAAAGGAAGTGGTGGAGCGCTGGGTTGTTACAATGCGACTTCCTCCTACCTCGGCCCGCAACCTCAAGTCCGCTCCACAGCCCAGTGCTTGTGGTGCCCTCCCTGAGGGTCAGGCGGGAAGACTGCCAGTGGGTGTGCCTGTGGGTGGTGGAAAGTTTAGTCCCTGGATTCCCCGAAAGGGGTGAGGTAGCTGGGGCTGTGACGAGCAAGGATGAAGAGGCTGGGAATGGTGCACTTCTGCCTCCCTCTCAATTCAGAATCAGATTTTCATTCTGACCACATGACCAGCTCTAATCCTGACCCTAGACTTTAATACTGACCTGACCCTAGATTTTTAACTTTTACCCTCCAACTCTGTCTGTAGTCCTGACTGCAAATGAACCATCCATCCCAGACCTACCCAGCTTTAATCTTGACCACGAGCCTGTCCCTGGTTTTGATCATGATCCAGAACCACCACATCTTCGTGCGCGCTGGGGTAATATGAAGCACCTGGTGAACTTCCCAGGAGAAAGAAACCAAAGCAAATAGAAGCCTATGTGTCTCACAGCTGGTACAGGGACAGAAAGACACTCTCTACAGAGGAGGGCCATTAGGTCTCTAATGTTTCTGATCTCACTTGCTTTATTAGTAATGGAAAAGAATATGTTCTTGCTTTAAAACAGGTGCCAAAATAAGTTTTTGGGATCCTTGAATTATTTGTGAAAAGAATGAATGGAAGGTTGACTCAATGAGAAGGGTGGACAGATCTACAGCTGAGTGTGCCCTCTTTCCTGCCATCTCTGTCATTTGCCCTCTAGCTCCTCTGAAGATGAGGTGCCAAGAACATGTGTTTGAATCCCTGCTCTATGCCACCACTAGTGTGTGACATTGAGTCAGCCACATAAGTGCTCTGACCTCCCACCTCTACATGTGTCTCACACCTTCTTCTCTCCTCACAGAGCACAGGGGTGGTGATTCTCAAAGTTCTTTGGCTACTTAGAATTCCTCATTCGTTCTCCTTCTCACTGCCTTTCTAATCTGCTGCTTCCCCATTCACCGCCTCCACTCCTTTCCAGATTCTTTTGGGAAACAGGATGTATAGCGGCTAGTAGCCCAGAGCCTGCAAGGCTGAAGCTCCTCTTAGCCACTCACTAGTACTGCTTAGCTTTATGACTTTGGGCAAGGTATTTAACCTCTGTTAGCCTCTGCATTCTCACTTGTAAGATGGAGATGATACTATCACCGTTGTAGGTGCAGGTGCTCATATAGCTCAGCTACAAGTCTTTTCTCCTTAGATCCCTCAGGCTCTGAAAGACTCAAAACTCTCCCCCATAGTTTAAGCCATAAATAAGTATCCTGTTGCAACCATCTGCCATTTATTTACCTGACCCTTCCTTCCCAAACATGATGGTGGAAAATAGCGCTTAGGTGTGGGGCAGGAAGCCAGGAAATGGAGTATTTAGCTGCACGTGTGTGATTCTTGGTTGTGTTGTGAAGTTGAGATTTTTTTTTTCCACTGAATTGGCAGTGTTATTTAATGTGAGTCATTCAGGTTGTTAGCAAAATCAACAGCCCAGGCCAGTGCACCTTGAAGTAGGGATAGATGGCCTAAAGGGAAGAGGTCCTAGAGGGCCAGGGGTGTCTGGAGGAGGTCAGGTTCGATCACCTCCCTGGAGGCACCCCAGGTCTTTCGGAGGATTGCTGGGTCTCTAGGAGGACCGAGACCCTTCTGCTTTCTGCTTGCCATGTTTGTTTTACTGTTAGGATGGCGCTAGAAACTGGGGTAGCTCCTGACAAGGGAGGGAGGCAAGCAGGAGCGAGACTGGGGCCTGAGAACTGAGTGTGGCAGGTGAGATCCCCATTTCTCAGGCAGAGTGTGAAAGCGACGACCTGTATCTGTCACCTGAGATACGGCAGTGAAGGTGGATGGGGAAAGGAACTGTAACTGCCAGAGGAGGACGCTCTGTTAGTACCCAGCCCAGGGTCCCTTACTTCACTCACTCCTGATGGAAAAGCCCCCAGTCTGATGGAGGAGCCATAGATCTTGCCCTCAGATTGGCTTCAGTCTGAAGGAGGAAGCAGGAGTTCCGTTGCGGAATCACCAGTTTGACATGTGGCACACCTTGCAGGGGAGAGGACCCAAGGAGGACATAAGGCACATTTAAGAAACTTAAGGACTGAGATGTAGCCCCAAAGGCTTCAGCATCTCAGCAAAGATTCCTGGAAGGATCTTTCCTCTCTGCTTGTCCATACTGTCATCCATCCAATACATAGTGAGGACTTCCTAAGAAGTGGGGTTTATCTTCCAGATGTCTGGTCTGCTTCTAATAATTTTTACTTTGGCCCAAATGGATGAAATTTAAGTTGTGGGGGATTGTCGCTTCTCACTCTCGGTCCTGCTCCTGGGTTCATAGAGCGAACCAGGCAAGAGCAGGGAACAGGGAGCTTGCTCATCATTTGCCTGCTCCCTCAGCTTTTCCTGTCCTCTGTAGCCCTAACCTCATGACTTCCCCTCCTCTCCTGCGGGGTCAGACAGACGGACACAAACACACACTCTCTCTCACACACCTTTACTCATACTCATGCCGCCCTCCCACACCTTCCTTTATTTACTTCCATCCACATGCATCTCTCTCTCATGTCCATTATGTGACTCTCTGGGTCTGGAGAACTCTAGCCCTCTTCCTTTGACCTCTTCACCCTGCTCAGGACCCTAGAGCTCCTGGATAAGAGGGGTGCCCCTTGTGACGCACCATCTAGGATAGTTGAACCTGTGCCTGCCATTTCCCAGAAACCCTAATTCCCACAAAGTCCTGAGTCCCTTCTAAAGTTGGTGAGGTGAGGACATCCACAGAAAGCAAAATTCCTGTTTTGGGAACATGCCAGGCCCTGTCACAGTCCAGGACAGAGATGAACATAGGGGCCTTGTATAAGGTCAGGAAGGGCTAGCTGGAGTTGTGTGGGCCAGGGTAGGTGGAAGAAAAGAGCCAGGACTAAGGGTGACTACTTTCAATGAATGATCCTGGGTTCAGAGTGGCTCAGAGAGCAAAGAACTACTCAGAAAAGTTCTTTGCTAAAGTCAGTCTATTCCAGTTCTGTAAGGGTCTGTATCCAGGAGACTTAGGGATGACAAAAGAGAAAAAGAAAGAAAAATTGATGGAGAGGTACAATTCATTGTCTGCTTATTGAACACCTACTGGATCTCAGGCCCTGAACTGTGCATGCTGGGAATACAAATTCAGTGTCCCTGCTGCCAAGGAGTAAAGTTCCAGAAAAAGGGAGCACAATTTGTATAGTGCCCCGTGAAGGTATATGGTGTTAGAGCAGCTATTGAGAGATCATAATGTGAGGCAGTCCCTGGGGATTCTGGAAGATAAGCAGAAAACAACTCAGAAATAGCTTTGAGGTAGAGGCAGGAGCTGTGGCCCCAGTCAGGCCAGCTTGGATTCAAGTTGACCCACTGGTGCCCCTGCTTGCCCAGGAAGTTGAGTCTTCTTTATGCATTGAACCCCTCCAAACCACACTGATGGTGTTTATACTTTTAGCTGGTACTGTGTGAGAAAATTCACAGCTATTATAAATTTAGTAAAACTTACTGATGAACTTATGTTTTATTTATCACCAAAGCTTCTCCACAGATTAGAAAAACAGTCACAAATATCCACATTGACATGTGTTCACTACACAGCCAGTGCTTGGTGAACTAATGGTAACAGGGGCCTCTCGGAGCCACTGTGCCGTGGTTCCCTGCCCACAACTGCCCTATCTTTACAAAAGATTCTCTGGAGGAGAGGGAGGCTCCCTGGAGGAGATGACACTTGATGGTGGACTGAAAGTCTGAGAGGATTTCTGCCCAGCAAGGGTGGGATTGGCCAGATGCAGGGGCATGCTCCTCTTTTCCTCTCCACCCAACTCCCTGCCCAGTGACCCCAGGGTCAGGCAGGCAGGGTCAAGCTCTGACCTTGAGGCACTGGGATATCTCTCAGGGTGAATTTGGCGCTGGCCTACACGGAGCTGACGGAGGAGCTGGGCCGGCTTCGGGAGTTGAGTTCCCTGCAGGGGAGGATCTTGAGGACACTGTTGCAGGAGCAGGCCCGGAGTGGCGGTGAGCTGGGAGCTGGTCATGGGACAGGACCAGAGGAGGGAAAAGGGTAGCTATGGCAACCCTCTCAGGTCTTGGGGTACCACACTCTTTCCTGTTGCCTGATCCTTTTTCACTCCATTAGGAGGGGAGAGGGTGGGCGAGACCCTGTCTCACCCCGGTGCTGACAGGGCTGACTGACTGACCTCTCCATCCATCTCTCTCTCTCTCTGCACCTTGGCCCCATACCCTCTAATTCTATTTTCTCTTTCAGGCCAGAGGCACTCGCCGCTGTCGCAACGCCACTCCCCAGCCCCTCAGTGCCCTTCCCCATCCCCGCCTGCCCGGGTGCCCCCATGCCAGTCCCCCGCCCCCCAGCGCCGCTCCCCTGTACCCCCATGCCCGTCGCCCCAACAGCGGCGGTCGCCCGCCTCGCCCTCCTGCCCGTCGCCTGTCCCGCAGCGCCGCTCCCCGGTGCCGCCTCCATGCCAGTCCCCCAGCCCGCAGCGCCGTTCCCCCGCGCCCCCAGCCTGCCCGGCCCCCCAGCCGCGGCCGCCGCCACCCCCGCTGCCCGGGGAGAGGACGCTGGCCGAACGGGCCTACGCCAAGCCGCCCAGCCACCACGTGAAGGCGGGCTTCCAGGGCCGGCGCAGCTACTCGGAGATGGCGGAGGGCGCAGGCTACGCGGGCGCCTCCCAGCCCTGGCTGCAAGCCGAGGCCGCCACGTTCCCCAAGCCCCGGGCCTATGGTGGCGAGCTCTACGGCCCAGGCAGGCCCCTCAGCCCGAGGCGCGCCTTCGAGGGCATCCGCCTGCGCTTTGAGAAGCAGCCTTCGGAGGAGGAGGAGTGGGCTGTGCCGGCCAGCCCACCCAGCCCGGAGGCCGGCACCATCCGCTGCGCCTCCTTCTGCGCCGGCTTCCCCATCCCCGAGTCGCCGGCCGCCACTGCCTATGCCCACGCTGAGCACGCGCAGTCTTGGCCGTCCATCAATGTGAGTGGGGTGCCCCACCTGCTTCAGGCCCTAGAACTTTGAGACAGAGACCAGGGCCCCGGATTCTGCTTGGGGAACCCATTGCTCAAAGCTGAGGGCAAAGATTACTTTTCCTTCCCCTGCACTTGCTTTTCTGTGGCATAGCAGAGGCTTCTCTCCCCTTTGATCTGCATCCTTGAGAATTTTGTCAATGCCATGGTAAGGGCATGGCCTTCAAAATAACAGTCCTGGCTTAGATTTTGCTTCACGACTTACTAGCAGCTATGGTACTTTGGCAGGTTACTTATTCTCTGTGGGCCTCAGTTTTCTCACTTGCAAAATGAGAACTATTCTATGAAGGATTCTTAAAAGAATTTTGAGTCTGAAGCTCTGTAGAGCTCATAATACTCAATAATTGCATTGGTTGTTAACACTGATAGTGATCTCTATAGTTCTTGGACTGACACAGACAGGCCTGATTGTCCAGTTTCTCTCATCAGGCCTTAGGGCATCTGCTATTTTTGCCCCTGTCTGTCCTAGATGTTCCTATCTCAAGGCTCCATCATTTCATTAAAATAATCAATTTCTTGAAAGTCAGAGCCACCCCTTACCACCTGGAAGTACCAAAACATATCCCAAAGTTAGGCAGACGATTATTTTGGGGTTATACATTGTTTGGATTATCCATGGCTTTGACACCTCTGGGGGCTGTGTCTTAGTCACTTAGGGGGGCAAGTCTCGGTTCCCTTATTACCACAGATGTGGAATGAGCAGCAGTGCATTTCTGGATGCCTCCTGGGGCCCTATGCTCCCATCAGAGGAGTGGAGGCGAGACTCAGGGGAGGCTTTGCTGAGGGGGGCTTTGCTAAGAAAGGGTGTCCAGGCCTCTTGTGCATGTTGCAGCCCTCTGTACCCCAAGGGAGGCTAGGATGTGTGGACTGGGTGAGGATTAGGGACCATAAATTATTCTCCTCTCTTCCCACAGCTGCTGATGGAGACAGTGGGCTCTGACATCCGCAGCTGCCCCCTCTGCCAGCTGGGTTTCCCTGTCGGGTACCCGGATGATGCCCTCATCAAACACATTGACTCCCACCTGGAGAACAGCAAGATCTAGGGCACATCCCCTACCCGCTGGCTGTTCTTCTATCCTCTCCCTTCACTCTCAAACACACACTCACTTTGAATGCTGCATGAATCTCGCAGGGGGAGGGGCTGCCCCTTGCGACCCCCAGATACCTCCACTAGCTACCGAGTCAATGTGTGTGCCATCTTCCCTGGCCCAGGCACCAATCAGCTCTGGTCCTTCCTGGGAGGTCAGCAGAAGCTTCCCTGGCCCCCTGGATTCTGCTGGGAAGATGGGGATCCGAGCTGGGACTGGGAGGGACCTACTTCTGTCCGGCCCTCTTCCTCTGCCTTTCTGTTCTCAAACAGGGTTAGAGCCAAGAAAGTGTTTAATGTTTGGGCATGAGTGAGGGGGGTGTCAGAGGCCCCCAGGAGCTCCGCAGCCCCTCCCTAGACGCTCATCCTTCCTACTAGGCTGTGCTCTGTCTTGGGAGCATCACCTGCAGGGTTCCAAGAGCCTGCCATGCACACTGATGCCACTTTCTCCTCCCCATGGGTAGCATGGCATTGTGGCAAGGGCCCCTGGGGGAAAGGGCATCTTGTTTCTTGCTACTTCCTGCAAGACAGCTCTTTATTCTCTCTCTGTCCACCCTGGGGGATAAGATAGAAGAGGAAAGGGAGTATCATGGAGGATAAGGCGGATCCAGCCTAGAGAGTCTGCTTTGGGAGTCCAGATACCATGACCTTCAGGACAGGGAATTGTCTATGCCAGCTGCCCATGGCCATGCCCTCCTCCTGGAGCCCCCTGCACTGGGGCACAGATTTACAAGGCAGATGCTCCCCTCTGCCTTTCCTGGGGTTCCTAACACTGCAGGGTTCCTAGAGCCTAGATGTGACTCGGCCTCTGTTAGCTGGGAGGATATCATCAGCCTCTGCCTCCCAGGCCAGAACCTGAGAATGGGCACAGGGTGCTGTGGAGATCAACTTCTAAAGAGCTAACCCCCTTCCACACCCCCACCGACCCACATTTCCTCTGTGAAATCTACCTCAGAGTTGTACCCTCAGAAGGACGGGTAAGCAGGAGGCAAGGAGGTCCCTAGGGCTGAGGTGGGGAGCTTCCTCCGGTGAGAGTCTGCTTCCCCACAAAAAATCCAACCCCCCTCCACTGCCAGCTCTCAGGCCCAGGGTGGGTGGCAGTGGAAGCTATTATCAGTGCATGTACCGTTCTGATCCAACTCTTCCAGGCCCCCCACCTTTCACACCCCTCCCTTCTTCCTCAGTGCAGGAAAGGGAAAGGGTCAGTTGGGTGGGAAAGTGGCCAAGGACTCCAGAGACACATGTCATTGTATCCCAGATGCTCCCCCTGGGAGGGGTAGTGGGGAAGGGGACTGGAGAGGGGAAGTTGGGGCTCCTGTGCTCTCTGGACAAATTGAAAGTCCAAATAAAACTTACCTGTTCCATCTGCCCTCGGTCTATGCCCTCTGTGGCTTGGGTGGGGCCAGAACCCTTCATAGCAGAAGGGCTTGGAAACTTTCTCAGGGAACCCCAACCATGGAAGGCTGGGCACTGCACAAATAGGGGATGCATGGTCACCCACACTTGAAGGTGATTCTGGAGGTGTGGGTGTGCCAGTGGCCACAGATAGCATGTGATATGGAGTTTATTTAGAACAGATCTGGGCAACAGAGGATGTCTTCATGACAAAACAGGCATCCAAATCTGAGTGGGTGCTGGGGGCTCCTGAATGCTCCCTCCCAGTGGGTCTGGCAGGTGCCATTGAGTCGACTACAACTCATAGTGACCCAAATGAACAAAATATCTGAACCCAGCTCTATCCTGTACCATCCTCATACTTCCTTACTCACAAGAACCCATTGTGGCAGTCACCGTGTCAGTCCACCAGGTTGAGGATCTTCCTCTCCTTCACTGACCGTCCACCCTCCCCAGCATCAGGTCTTTCTCCAGCGATTAGCCCCCATTAGCAACATGCCCCAAATATGTGAAGCAAAGCTTCATCATTCTTGCCTCCAAAGAGCACTCCAGCTGTACCCTCTCCAAGACTTATCTGTTAGTTCTTTGGCTGTCCATGGGATGTTCAGTGCTCTTCTCCAACACCGCAGCTCAAAGGTGTCAATTTTCCTTCTGTCTTCTTTATTCATTTTCCAGCTCTCAGTTGCATAGCAAGTGATCGATCAAAGACCATGACCTGAATCAGGTCCACCTTAGTCTGCAAACTGACATTGCTACTCGATAATTTGAAGAGGTCCCTAACTGCAAATTTTCCCAGTGCAATGCATCTCCTTATTTCTTGACTGCTGGTACAAAGGGTGTTAATTGTGGATCCAAATAAGATGAAGCTGTTCACAGTTTCAATCTCTCCATCCGTCATGATGCTCCATATCATGTGCATATCCAGTAGTAAGCATCTTTGTTTTCTTGACATTGAGCTGCAGTCCATACCGAGGGTTGCATTCCTTGATCTACAAGTGCTTCAAGTCCTCACTTTCACCAAGCAAAGTTGTATCATCTGCATAGTACAGGTTATTGATGAGTCTCCCTCCAATCCTGATACCACACTGCTCCTCATAGAGTCCAGCTCCTCAAATAATTTGCTCAGCATACAGATTGAATAGGTATAGGGCGAGAAAACAACCCTGATGCACTCCCTTCTCGATTTTAAACCATGCAGTGTTCCCCTGCTCTGTTCCTACAACAGCCTCCTGGTCCAGGTTTAGGTTCCACATGAGCAGTTAAGTGCTCTGGAACTCCCATTCTTCTCAGTGTCAGCCACAACTTGTTATGATCCACACAGTCAAATGCCTTTGCATAATCAGTAAAGCACAAATGGACATTCTTTTGGCACTCTTTACTTTCAGCCAGGATCCCTCTGACATCAGCAATGATATCCCTGGTGCCATGGCCTCTTCTAAATCTTGCTTGAACTTCTCGCAGTTCCCTACCTATGCACTCTTCTAGCCAGTTTTGAATGATCTTCAGCAGTATTTTACTTAATGTGATATTAATGATATTGTTCACTAGTTTCCACATTCAGTTGGATCGCCTTTCTTGTGAATGGAAACAGATATGAACCTCTTCCAATCCATTGGCCAGACAGCTGTCCTCCAAATTTCCTGGCATAAACTGATGAACACATCCAAGGCTACATCTGTTAATTGAAACAAATCAATTGTTACCCCATCAATTCCTGGGGCCTTTTTTTGCCAGTGATTTCACTGCAGCTTCCACTTCCTCCTTCCTTACCATTGGCTCCTGTTCATATGGTACTTCCTGATATTTTTAAGTGTCAATTCATTCTTTCTGATACAGTGATTCTGTATATTCCCTCCATCTTCTTTTGCTGATTTGGGGTCATTCAGTGTACTGCCCATAGCATCTTACGAGGCTTAAATTTTTTTTTTTTTCAATTCTCTCAGCTTGAGAAATTCTTATTTCTGAAAGGTGCCAAATCTGGGTACCTTTATTTCTTTGTGGTCCTTCTTGCTCCCCTCTCCTAAGGATTCATTTATAAACAGAAAAGGGACAGCTACTCACCAAAGGCTTGAAGTCAGTTCTAGACCCAGATACCCTTGCTCAGTCATTGCCAAGGTCCAGACCTTCAAGGTGGGACCTCCCACTTCTGCTGTTACTCTTTGGCAGCTGCCTTCTAGGAGTTCATCCAACCTGTTAGAACATAGGTTCTGAAACCTCTAAGGCATTGTACTCAATGCACCCTCTCAACTCCCATGAAGGAAAGCAGCCCACATACAGTTGTTGGGGCTTGGGACCTGTTTGGGTGTTTGGAAGTATTGGCTAGAAGGCCATAAATGAATTAAGAGTAATACTGAGATCCAAGGCAAAGAGAAGTCCTGACTACTAAGATTAAAGTCAAAAGACCTGGGAGTGAGCCTGCTGAGATGCAGGGGACCCAGGTAACTGCTCTGGTCCGTGAGCATGTTCCAGGGTGGGAGGGAACCTGGGTCTCTCACAGCCTGGATACGGTCCCTGTCACCAAGGTGAGGGGAAATGTAGGGATATGGGGTGTAGATTCTGGCAGCTTGTCTGCTTGATTTCTGGGGACTTGAAAAAGGGCTCAGGTGCCAGCAGAAGGTTGCTGGGGGCTGGGAAGGAAAGCAGAGAGGGGAGAGGAGCTAGTGTGCCGCCAACCCCGGTCCTCAGAGCTACCTTTGATCCAGCTTCTCAGAAGGAGAGGACATGGGACGCACAATGAGGGGGGTGTTCGAAGGGTGCTATCCACCAACCTCCTCCCTCTAAGACTGTCTTTCTTCCTCTCTGGACTGTGATCAGACATCAGGACACTTGTTACTCATTGCTCTTGGGAGACAGGAGTAAGGCTGGGGAGCAGGCACTAGGGGCTGCAAACGTGATGTCAAAAGGTCTAGATCTCTAGGATCCTGGAAAGGTGAGTGCAGAACAGATGTGGAGAGAAGATCTTTGTGAAGGCTGGAGAAGATGCATTTGAGGATCCCAGAGTCAGACTTGGAAGACAGATGGAGAGACAAGTGTGGCTTAAAAGAGATGGAGCCATATTCCCCAAAGCACCAAATTGGTTCTTTCCACCTCTGCCTCTTCTAGTCTCTCTCTCAGCACCAGCTGTCCCTGGCTTCTTCCTGCCCCATCCTCAGGGACCTGCAGCCCTGCTCCTCTTCTCCAGGGTTTCCCCAGCCAGAGCTACCAGGCCTTGGAGACCCCTGCCCCTCTCCTGGGTTCCCATGCAGACTGTCAGGCTGAGGAGAGCAACAGCTCCTCCTTGTGTGTGGATGTGTGTTTGGGGTGAGGGGAGCTGATTGCTAACAAAGGAGAGGGTGTGTGGGTGAGTCAGCTGTGTTAATGAGAAACACTTCACCCTGTTGATTAGGACTAATGAGGAATGGAGGGGTTTCACTTGGTGACATCTTTACAGAGCAGAGGGAGCAGGACAGCTTTCCCTGTCTCATTTCTTCCTCCAGCAAGGACAAGACCAGGGCTGCCTTGACTCCTCCAGGAAGAGTCAGCCCCTAGGATGAAATGAAATGTCAAGAGCACATGGGAGTC